ATGGCTAAGTCAAAAGAATGGTCCACAAAGTTAAGAAAATAGATCATCGCCCTTCACAAGCAAGGTACAGGATACAAAAAGATAGCGAAGGCACCAAGACACTATTGAAAGGATAGCTTGCAAGTTTAAAGTTGAAGGAACAATGGTTACACTACCTGGATAGGGCAGAAAAGGGAGCTATCATTGGCTGCAACCAGATTTCTGAGAAGACAGGTTGTGAAAAACCCTTGAGTAACTGCAAAAGACCTGCAGCAAGAGTTGGTGGCAACAGGCACTGAGGTTTCACTGAGCACAGTAAGGCGGGTACTAAACGTAGAAGGTTTCCATGCCAGAACTATTAATCCAAAGGCACAAGAAAAGTCAGCTCCAATATGCTCCAATATGCTCAAAATCATATAAATAAGCCACAGGAATTTGGGGGTTCTGTTCTGTGGAGCGAGGAAACAAAACTGGAACATTTTGGCCCAGTGGATCAGCAGTATTTGTCTGGAGGAAGACAAATGAAGCATATGCTGAAAAGAACACTCTGCCTACAGTTGGTGGTTCCGTGATGCTCTGGCACGACTGCATCCTCTGGCACTGGAAACCTGCAATATGTGGAAGGGTAGATGATTTCTGTTACGGTACCTTCAGTAATAAATGTACAAACCGCTGTTTAGTGAATGCTCCCCGTTCACAATAATGTGGTCTGGTAGCGTATGCAATACAACCATGCGAACTGCCAGCCAGGGAACACATCAAACTCCAGAACGGTACCCGTACGGCTCCTTCCCTTCACGAGCCACAAGTTCACGAACTGACAATATCAGCCGAACGCCAATATCTTCCAAGCGGCCATTAATTCCAAAGAGCAGTCTCTAGTCGCCGGTAATAAAATCCCCCAATAACGAGACCAAGCTCCGCTTTGGGGGTAAAACACGAACTGACTTTACTGTGGGCTACCTGCCCGTATTTATGCAGGTCTCCCACTTGGTGGACACTCCCCTAGGGGACCAAATGGGAGACTGGAATAGCAGATGGACATGGGGACATTTCAGACATACAATCACACAATATTCCCAGCATGCATCACAGTTTTCTCCCCTCTGCTCGGGAGATAATTGAGAAGTAATTCAATTATCTCCCAGAGCAGAGGCAAATCGCCATTTTAAATACAAGTCACAAAACAAATAAAAATATATAACTTTATAACTGCCGAACATATTACATTCGTGTAACACATCCCCAGATAGCCTGGATCTGAGTGCATATTATTGGCGAATCGCGCTTAGATCCCATACGCACAGTTCAATCGCCATGGAATCAAAGTCTATTACAGTTCTTTGGTATGCGATTGACTCCATGGGAAGGCTATCTGGGGTAAGTCCATTCGTGCCTTTACATCTCCCGAATGGCCGGTGTTCGAAAACACTTCTGTCGATTGAGAAGGGAGGTCGACGGCTTCAGCGGTGTTCGATTGAAAAAGTCTCTGTTTTTAGTTCCATGAAATAACTGTCGAACACCGCTGGTCTTTCGCATGGTTAAAATGGCCGCCGCCTCGTGGTCGACATACGAACGACGACCACCCTGTATTCGGTTTTAATTGAGAAGTGTCTGTGGTTAACCGCAACATTCTAATTGGGATCAATAAGTTAACCAGCAGCAAACTTCTCTTCTGGGTTGCCGTCCGTTCGGCAGTTCCGTTCGACAGAAAAGTACATTCCCTCAAACAAGGCATATGAACGGGTAAATTCATGCAAACGGCAAAACAGACGAACACAGCAATCCTAGTTCATACGGATGGGTCTGTCACAATTTCATTAAATTATCAGGAAATCCTAGGAGAAGATGTCATGCTGTCTGTGTGGAAGCTGAAGCTTGGGCATCACTGGACCATCCAACAAGACAATAATTCCAAGGATAGCTCATATTCTACCAAGGCTTGGTTGCTGTAGAAGTCCTGGAGATCCTACAGTGGCCACCACAGTCACCTGACTTGAACCCCATAGAAAATCTCTGGTGGGATTTGAAGTAGACATCATGCAAACCCAAGAATATTACTGAACTGGAGGCCATTGCTCACGAGCAATGGAATAAGATTCCTCAGGAACGCTGCCAGAACCTGGTGTCTGACTATGCTTCTCATTTGCAGCAAGTCATATCAGCAAAAGGATGATCTACTAAGTACTGAAGATGCTGGCCATGAAGGGGTTGAATAATTTTGAGACTGAAGAAGTCATTATACATTGCACTTTCAGTTGAATTTGGGAAAGCCGCTTGAAGTATTCCTTGTGATGCTTTTTTTAATTTTTTCACTGCAAACAGAAGAAAGTCTGTAAATTTTGACAATAAACCTTGTTTTTGAAGGGGGGTGAATACTTTTCACTGCTTTTAGCTTTAACTCCCCCAATGCATGTTTATGACTGATGTGTTGATTATGTTTATTTATCTCATCCCTATCCTTACTTGAATGCTGTGCAGGTTAACCACGTCAGTTTGGAGGATGTGATGCACGAAGATGCGGTAGCTGCTCTGAAGAATACATCTGATATTGTCTATCTGAAAGTGGCCAAACCGACCAATGTGTATCTGAATGACTCCTACGCACCACCGGATATTACAACCTGTAACTGTCTGTCTTCCCAGCTACCTACACAGTTATCTATCTACCTGTCTGTCTGTCCATCGAACTACACAGCTATCTATCTACCTGTCTGTCTGTCTGTCCATCGAACTACACAGCTATCTATCTACCTGTCTGTCTGTCCGTCGAACTACACAGCTATCTATCAACCTGTCTGTCTGTCTGTCCGTCGAACTACACAGCTATCTATCTACCTGTCTGTCTTTCTGTCCGTCGAACTACACAGCTATCTGTCTACCTGTCTGTCTTTCTGTCCATCAAACTACACAGCTATCTATCTACCTGTCTGTCGAACTACACAGCTATCTATCTACCTGTCTGTTGTCTATCCATCAAACTACACAGCTATCTAACTACCTGTCTGTCTTTCTGTCCATCAAACTACACAGCTATCTAACTACCTGTCTGTCTTTCTGTCCATCAAACTACACAGCTATCTATCTACCTGTCTGTCTTTTTGTCCGTTGAACTACACAGCTATCTAACTACCTGTCTGTCTTTCTGACCATCAAACTACACAGCTATCTATCTACCTGTCTGTCTTTCTGTCCATCAAACTACACAGCTATCTATCTACCTGTCTGTTGAACTACACAGCTATATATCTACCTGTCTGTCTTTCTGTCCATCAAACTATACAGCTATCTATCTACCTTTCTGTCTTTCTGTCCATCAAACTACACAGCTATCTATCTACCTGTCTGTCTTTCTGTCCATCAAACTACACAGCTATCTATCTACCTGTCTGTCTTTCTGTCCATCAAACTACGCAGCTATCTATCTACCTGTCTGTCTTTCTGTCCATCAAACTACACAGCTATCTATCTACCTGTCTGTCTTTCTGTCCATCAAACTACCCAGCTATCTATCTACCTGTCTGTCTTTCTGTCCGTCAAACTACACAACTATCTATCTACCTGTCTGTCTTTCTGTCCATCAAACTACATAGCTATCTACCTGTCTGTCTTTCTGTCCATCAAACTACACAGCTATCTATCTACCTGTCTGTCTTTCTGTCCATCAAACTACACAGCTATCTAACTACCTGTCTGTCTTTCTGTCCATCAAACTACACAGCTATCTATCTACCTGTATGTCTTTCTGTCCATCAAACTACACAGCTATCTGTCTACCTGTCTGTCTTTCTGTCCATCAAACTACACAGCTATCTATC